ATTATGGCCTAATTTATTTTTCCAAAATTTAAAATTTTTAAAAAAATTACTTTTTGATATATTATTTTCCGAAAATTATAAGGGGGTGCTGTAATCACCTTAAAGGCTAATGGTAAGATTTTAGAATAGTTGTTCTGCAAATATCTTTAACTATTATTAAATTAATTGCAGCTTTGTCCATCCTACATTTAAAAGCAGATGAGATGGTTTCTTAGGAACATTTAAAACAACCGAGAGAAAAAAAAGGTAAAGGGCTCTACTAAAAGAACATACATTTTTGAAAAAACGGTTTGCTACTAGAAGTTTTTAGTAAAAAGTACATAGTTACAAATCATTTTAAAGAATAAAACAAGGGTCTTTTGGAGTTGAGAAGAAGCATTCACGATGAGATGTTTGAATAAAAGGTGTTACATTTACCTCAGTAATAGTCTAAAAAAGTATCTCTTGCTGAAAATTTCAACTTTACAAAAGTGCGATACTAAAATAAATCTGAAAAAGGATAATTTCCTGACCGTAGCAGAATTGTATATAAATAAAAATTTCCTAGGTTTATTCGGTCATTTTTATTTTAGCACAACACTACATATATGTTTCAGAAACATTTTTTCCATATTCGGGTGCAGTCAATATTTAATAAAACTTGGGGACGATTACAAACACTTTAAAAATAACAGAGCCCCATCTTTCTGTTTCAGCGTGTAAAGGTGTACCTATTCGAAATAATGATCATATAATCATTATTTCTCTCTTCGTTGTGTTTAATGCTTGTAAGAAACAGAGCTGGGTAATTACATGTACTTTAAAAATAATTACAATTACAAAGTACATGATGTAAAAAAAGGAATTATATTGATTTAATTACAATTACATGAAAAAATGAATTAGCAATTACTTTTATGATTACTTTTCTAATTACTTTGCCGATAAAACAACAAATTATGATAGAATTGAGGAACCATAAACCAACCGGACCGGTACAAATAAAAATTTTAAATAGGTAATTCAAAGTGTCAAACTAACAGCCGTTTGCAACGACTTTTTTAAGGATTCTTTAAAGTTAAAAATATCTTAGGGGTGGCTTGTATAAATCTTACTTAAAGTTAAACTTGGTTTGAGTTGACACATGACAAATTTTGTACAGTATCGGTACAGTCTAAATACCATTTAGCACTTAGGGCTTGTTTCCCAAAACATTAGACTGCACATATAGCACCTAAAACTGAGCTTAATTTTAAGTAAGCCCTAAGTGTATTGTTTTCTGTACCATTTAAGGTCTTCTTAATTTAAGGGAAAAGACGAAATCGATAAGTAGTATAAAAAATGGAACAGGTAAGTTAATAATAAAATGTAAACTTTTAAAAGTTTATTGATTTTCAACAAAAATACAAAAGTCCGTGTACCTACGCCTAAGTACTTTTATATTTTACCTAGTCTGAATTTTTGACCACCTTGTATTTGTTTTAATTAAATATTATGAAGTAGTAAATAAAAGAAATAGGATAGGAAGGAATAAGTTAGCTATTTTGATCAAATATGAATAGTTTTGACAGAAAAAATTTCAAAATTCAAATATCTCATTTTTTAACAAATCAAGATCAATGAAATTAGTTATTCAGGGAGAATCTAAAAATGTAATAAAATACAGGGTATGCCACAAAACTTTGATACGCCACATTTTTAAAATAATTTTAAAAAGGTGGTTTTCCTCATCATATATACTTAAAACATAGGAGCCATTTTAAAACTTTATCGATTCACTATAAACGTCAGAGGCGTGGTAAATTATCCTGTATAATTTGTTATTGTTATTGACAAATTATACTGAAACTAAAATAGTAGTTCGTGCAACAAGAGTGTATATGGAGTTGTACAGTATATTTTTTGTACGACCCACTAACCAAAATCTATAATATTTTAGGTTATTACGACAAAATAACTAATTTTGAAATAATTTATGTTTTTTACTAATTTATAAAATAAAATTAACAAAAGAAAATTAGTCCCTTGTCCAGATTTGAACCCAGGCTATTCGCATGGAAGGCAGATGCTCTATCCTGAGCTCCACCGCCACCTTTTGATTTTCGTTTAAATACTCGTAATTAAACTAGTTTCATATAATTTGATTAAAATTTTTTTTTTTTTCAAATTGTGGCCAAAATAAAAATAAAAATGTTATTATTTATCGATTCTAAAGAAAAATACCTTATTTAGTGTATATTTAATTTCAATAACTAAAAAATATACTGATAATTAGTTTGACAGAATAATTGTTACTTGTTTAAAATTTTAAAAATAATAGTTTGGTATCCAAAATATGAACTGTGATTGGTGGATTTCATTTTTTTGCAGTGTTCTCACTACTTAGAATATATATGAAATATATTTCTGCGGTTGAATGCAATAGCTTACGTTTTCTTTTTTAATCTGTGCGTAGATATAAGCTAATATTCTTGTAGGTATAGAAAAGTATGTTTTTTCTACGCCCACATTTTAATATAGAAAACTAGAATAATAACTAGAAATACCTACGCAACGCAAATAAGTAGTTTTTAGTATTTACCCAATAAAAACTGCTATTTACACCACTTCATACTATATTTCCTTAGTTTATAATGTTTATGCAACATAAAATATGGTTATAATAACACAAATACAAAATAAGTCTTAGAAATAAGGATATTTGCATCTACTTACCCCCTTACTGTTATTATTTTGGGTTGAACAATTTTACTGCTTCAAGGCACAAAGCTCTCCTCAAATGAATTCAAGCAAATGATATGGATGCGAATTCGAGCTCTATTGACCGGTTAGAACAGGAAATGTTTTGTTTTTGTATCACATGCATCTCACAAACACGCATTTAAAAGTAATTGTAATCAAAAAATATAATTGTACTTATAAATGTAATTGTAATTTTCAAAAGTAATTGTATTTAGATAGTTTAAAAATATAAATTAATATAATTACAAAGTACAATTCCTTCACAGATTTTTCTTCAATTTCAATTCCAAAATACTTTGATAAAAAAAGTACTTAAATACAATTACAAATTACATGAAAAAAATTCATTGTAATTATTAATTACTTATTAACTAGGAATTACCCAGATCTGGTAAGAAACATTAGCCTTTAATTACAGTTTAGGCTCAATCCCTTTATTTCTTCTAACCATTTTTGGTGTAAAAAGTAAAAATTGTTGGCAACACCAACCAGCAACACTATAGAGAAAGTAAAAGTTAAAAAGTCTTTTGGTAGGTAGAGAGGGGGGTAAACGTCAAACCACGTCGGGCGGCTCCGAGAATTTCACAGTAATGTTTACCTGCCAGTGTCGTTTCATAGAATAAGTAATTTTAAATTGTTATCGGCGGAACCGGACAATCGCATGTATTTATGGATTATAAATAATTATTAAACATGTATTATAATATTCAAATTATAATTTTACAAAATTTCAACAGCTATTCACAATTTATTAAACTATTTACTCGAAATTGTTATTAACATCTATAAAATAATTTTGTACGCCAATGTATCGTGTCCACTTCGGTGAGATCCGCTGACAACCTGTCAAGTTATGTGTATAAAGTGGGAGAACTGGCAAAAGCATTTCCAACTTTTACTTCTGTTCTACGGCTCGGCACTCGATCCAGGCTTGCCAAAATTTCAAAATATTTCGGGGTATAAACAAAGTGTAAACCGAATTCAGTTCGGAGGCCGTCCCCTAATCCAACATGTTTAAAATAAACCATTCACACAATAATATTTTTCTTTATAATTCAAACAAAATGTAATTAATTTGAAATTTAAAGTAAATTATTACATGATTTTTCCTTGATGTTTTGTAGCTCGTCTTTCAAAAAATCAAGCTACCTATTATAAAAACTAACATCAGAACAAATAAGTTCAAAAATTAAAATATAAACACCAAAATAACAACAAAATATTAGATTTTTAAAAAACTAATGTACGACCCGAAGTAGAATATTTTTCTCGCTTCTTTCTGTTGCTCTTTATAGTTTTGCCCTATACCCAAGTAAAATTTAATCTGAATCTGTATATCACATACGACATACACTTATATACTAATTTATGTGGATATTTACTATATCGATCTGCTCACAGCTATGACAGCTTCAACTGACTCTGTCATAACAAAGACGTTTCGGTAATATTTCAAGAATTTTACGTTGAAATATTTGTAATGATGAATAAATATTACGAAACGTCTCAGAAACGTTTCTGAGAGGTGCCTGAAATGTAAAAATGTCTTGTAAATATAATATTTCACAGTAATATTTCCGAAATAAAAATTTTTACATATTTCAGACATACATAGGTATTATTTCAAAAATATACTCAAAATAAATATGTATTATGAAACGTAAAAATCACGTTTCCAAAATATTTCTGGAATATCATTGCAAAATGAATGCGATATTACCTATACTGTAATTTTTATTAGACTAAAAAAAGACATTTAAAAATATATATGTTTAAGGACACCGATTCCACCGTTGTGTTAAGCGGAGATTAAAATGACATTGTTAATGTAAAAATGTCATTTTAAACTTCGTTTAACACAACGGTGGAATCGGTCCTAAAATACACAAAACAAAAAACATTGATTCTTAAACTAACAAATAAATTAATTTTTAAACAATATTTCATAAAATATAAATGCTAAGATGATTTCATAAAATATAAAGACGAATCGCTTCATTTCCACCAATTCCTTTAAATACACTAACCTGAACCAAATTATACTGGACAGTTTCGATGAAAATTTAAAAAATTCTAACCATAGATTTTCCTTCCGAAGCAATAATGACGTATTTAATACCGAGGAGCAAAAGCACGAAATGTAATAACATTGTCTATTATCCAACCTTGGCCAGTCGAGTACGGGATTTTGACGTTTACTAAAATTCGAGCGCCCTCTCTAAATCTTAGTTTCTAATTCCGAACTAAAATTTTACCTGTTTTATGTAGGTTTGTTGTGTTATTGATTGATGGTATGTGTATCTGAGATTTATTAGACCAAATTCGAGAAAAATACTAATTCCCATTAGTTGGTACTATAACAGTCCGAAATATTTTTCGCTGAACGATTATCAGGTGAGTTTTATTTATGAATTACATTCCAATTTTGTTTGAAATCCATTAGGCGAATTATTAAAATTTTCCAACCCCCAGGTAACTACTAATTATTTATTAATTTTTCTATATTTTGCGAATTATTATTAAAGTCGATGTTCTATGGAAATATAAGGATTGTTTTTTTTTTATTTCAGCTAACTGGATCATGTCTAAGAAAAATATAGCTGAACAAGAAACAAAAATTAAAGACTCTTTATTTGATTTTGTTAAAACTCATATTCCTGAAGCTGATTTGAATTTAATAGATGAAATTGTGTTGTCCTACGTTATTTCTGTATTGGAAGACGTTGGATCTGATCCTGTTTTTGATGTAGAGGGTGAGTTTAAATTATATACATATAAAAATAAAGTGAATAATCGGAATAAACTACCACAAGGTGATGCTAGTTTTTTTTTATGTTATTATCAATATGTTATTAAAAAATTAAATGATTTTGGTTCCTTTCTTATGCAAAAATTTAATTTTCAATGAAATGGTAATCTGAAATTAGTTCTACCTGAATTACTTATGTGCATGTTTCAGAGTTCAGTTAGGTATATATGTTAAAATTTTATTTTATACGTAGGTACCTACCTCTTAAAAGTGAAATCAAAGCCTTTTATACCTATATCTTTTAATATGGAATCCCCAGTATATGAATTTCCAACTCTATTTCCAATCTATTAAAACAAAAATCATAACAGGGAATGTTCCAAATCTACAAAATTAATTTAGACATAAAAATTAATTTAAAAATAAAATAATAATTTTTAAATAATGTTGGCTTGTCTTGTAGTCTTTGGTGTCCCTGCTGCTCTGCCCTGTCCTTCTGCTTATCTGCCTCTATTTAGTTCATTCTCAGCTCCCCTCCTGCTACTCGATTCTGCCTCTGGTTCAAATTAAATGAAATGTTCTTAACCTTTGGTTTTTATCTGCTTTATTCATCTTTATCTGCTATTACATATGCAGCTTCTAACAATAATTTTTCAACATAATATTTCTTTAATATTCAATATCCCCTCCTGATTCTTCTATATCTCAGACATCTCAATTCAATAAAAAAAATCCTATTACATCCATCTACAAACTTAAGCCATATTCAAGCAGCCGACTATTTCATGCATTTTGAAAACAGTTTGAACTATTCCTATTTAAGTGACCAAACAATGATGTCAGTTGAATTAGGTTTAAACCACCTGTACCTGTTTTTGAAACGTTTTATTAAGAACGGTTCAAGAAAATAGAAAAATCATTATTGTCAAAAATAGTAAGGAACATCATAGAGCATAGCTATGAAGACAATTATAGCATACACAATAAAATTAATTAAAAAAAAGATTATTTATATTATGGTTGTAAAAAAAAAAATAGAAATAGCATAATTATGAAGGTTTTGAATTTTTAATAATTTTTGAAAACTTGACCTTGTAATTCTAAATGACTGTTTAAAGTCGGATTCTAAATGTAACCATCCATTTTTTACAAAACTAGTAATATTATAATATGATCCTCTCTTTGATGAGGCAAAAAATTATCTGTTGCTAGAGATTTACCCACTCACAAATCGTTGACTGTTAGTGACATCATTGTTTTAAAATAATCTATTTGAGCACTTTCAAAATCTATGACATAGTATTAAAACTGGTTCTAAAAGTTGTTGAAAATATTTTACTAACATTTTGTAGATGTAAAATTTGTCCTAATAAAATATAAGGATCTTCTACAGGGCGTGCACCAATTCATGTTAATAAAATAATAATGGCAAGTAATGTTCAAAATACAAAGAGACCTTGAATATGGCTTGAATATGGCTTTGATATTAATTTTGTCATCGATTTTCTAGATTTTGACATCTCACAGCTTATCTAATAGTGGATTTTATTTATTGCACTAATCGCATTTGATTTGTTCAGTGCAGCTTCAAATATTTGATACATACTTGAGTGTAGCATATACTTTTGACAAGTAAGACAGTTCGAATACAGTCTCGAGTGTGACACTAGTGCAACAAACAATATCCACTATAACTGAATTCAAATTTTGACAACCAAAAATATTTCTGTCCTATCAATTTACCCTCAATCGAGCCCTCATTATATGTATTGTTATTTTTATATTACATTTTTTGAACACTGAAGTTCTTATTTCCTTCATCCAAAAGTTGTAGGTATTTTTCCTACATAGATTGCTAAAATGTCCCCTTTAAATAGCTGTAAAATAATACTTTTATTTCAATTATTGCAAATTGTAAGCTTGTTATTTTAATTTCAAGGTTTTTCATTAAGTTGTAAATAATTATTAATTAGTTGGTAATTAAGAATATTAAATCTTGGAGAACATTTAAGTAATTTATTAAAAACCTCAAAACAAGCAACATATTATATAAGTATAAAATTACCCAACTAAATACTGTGATAGGTTTCACTTTAAAAATAAACAAATAAAAATAGTTTGCCTGAAATAACAAACAAAAAATATTGATTTTTTATGTGATTTATAAGGATAAAAATAGATAGATAATATGAGTGGAAGCAATAAAAACATTAAATTTATTTTTTTTTAAAGTACAATAGAAGTAGCATTCGGATTAGCCAGGGGCTATAACGGGATAGGGGCGGAGTTTTTCAGGGTGTTTTAAATGACATTTAAGCATTTTGAACTGTCACTAATTGTACTAATAAGTAACACTAAAAGGGTCATTTGGAGTTAAAAGAGTTAAAGGAGTGAATGGAACCTGTCTGTCTGAACTTACCTAGGCTACAATATGAAACATAATTGAAATAGACATCTAGTGCACCCTCGAGTGCGTCTATGTGGAAACACCTGTAAGTGGGATAAAATAAGTTTATTTTTAAGTATAAATAGTAAGAACTTTATTTAAAATAGGTAATATTCATACATAAACAATATAGACGTATACAAAGTATAAAAATATAAAAGAAAGCATTTACGAATATTATCCATAATTACATTTTATTATTGTATATTCTAATTAGAAGATTATTATTAAGTTTTAAATGCAATAATGTACACTAATTAGAATAACTTTAAAAATAATAATTAAAAATCCATTGAAACAATACAAAAATTAAAAGAATTTACCTACAGAATCACAAGGTAGTAATATAACATTTGTCATTATTTTTTTTTTCACGTAGTCTGTTAGATGGTGTTTAAGAATCTGTAAAGATGAACTGGTTTGAATTGTATTTGGTAATTTGTTACAGTTTATAAACCCTAAAGCACTTTCTATTAGTTGTAGGAATGTGAATATCGACATTAAAATTTATAAAGTCAAAAAAGTAGGTTGGCGCCAAATTATGTAGAATTTTATATATAAAGACCATTGTTAAATAGAACAACCTCTGCGAACCACTGCAGAGATTGAAGCATATTTACAATTGGAGCATATCGATTTGTCTGCAGGACAATCCTCTTATAGCAGGGACAGAAGTTGGAAAGGCTTTTGCCAATTCTCCCACTTCATACACATAAATTGACAGGTTCGTCGCGGATCTAACTGAAATAATTTCGAGTAAATAGTTTAATAAATTGTGAATAGCTGTTGAAATTTTGTTGAATTATGATTTGGATATTATAATGTTTAATAATTATTTATAGTCCAAAATACATGCGATTGTCGAGTTCCGCCGGTAAAAATAATTTAAAATTACTTATTCTATGAAACGACACTGGCAGATAATCATTACTGCGAAATTATCGAAGTAGTCCGACGTAGTTTGACGTTTATCCCCTCTCTACCTACCAAAAGCCTTTCCAACACATACTTTGATTTTCTTTACTATACGGCGCAAGAGAGAGGTCCGACACGCCCAACATAGGGCCCGGCCATTTTGAACCCTATGCAACAGTTTAAAGCTAAAGAATCAGATCGCTCACTCTGCGTCGGCACTTTTGATCTCAATGTTCCAGTTTATACACTGCGCAACTCGGATAATACAATATATAACAACCGCCTATAATAAAACAGCTGTCTTCTGCGTATCCTAAATTTGTATCCCTGGAGTGGATCTTATTTTGAAACTTTCAACTGGTCCGAGTGAGCTAACTGATTCTTTAGCAATAATCTGTGACTCAAAAAATAATATTCACTGACACTGACAGCCGCAAGCAAAATGTCAGGTGCGTTTTAATCATCCGCTACTGCTTCCGGAATTGTCGGTTTAGTCGTTTTAACTTGTCAAATTAAAACAAGAAAACCGACAATTCCGAAGCAGAAGCGGATGATTAAAACGCACCTATTATAAATATTGCGCCAAGATGTAGGCAACACGTAATAAGGGTTCAAAATGGCGGAGTTTTCTATCTCCTTTTAAAAGGCACTCAGAAAGCTGCGCAGTGCGACCATTCTCCGTATAGTAAAAGAAAATCAAAGTATGTGCTTTCCAAGTTCTGCCCCTGCTATGTCCCGATTTTGTAGTTTTTGTAGTTTTTATAGTTGTGATACTTGATTTAAATTAAACAAATATATAACATAAAACGTGATCTAAACGTGATCTAAAAGGAGAACTTTTAATATCGCTGGCGATATTTTTTTATTGTAAAATAGTAGCCCATAATCCACATGAACATCTATTTGAATAGAAACATTTTTAATTGACTAAGAGAAGAACTAAAACTCTAAATAGTTTTTGTCACATAAGCACACTGACACGGTGACTTTAAAGTAAAAATTACTTTAAATACATTTTTTAATTAAATTTTCGGTTATTGTAACTTCGTTATGGGTGTTTGTATAACCATAACTACAAGCGACACACTGAGAATAACTGTTACGTTTTAGTGACTGTATCATTAGGAATATAAAGTAATTGTTACATGAAACAGGCATTTAGAGTTGTAGCTACTACATATTTACTAAATTGAAGTAATAAATACTAAAGTAATAGTAATTATGACTCCCTATGCTATTTGGGTTGGTGGTCATTTTTATATTTTATGAAATATATCTGTTATTTACGTTTGGAGAAGAAAATTCTTCAATTAAAAGTTACTTATATTATTATAAATATTTTTTATTCTATACAAAATTTTCCTAAAATGGTCCGTATTCGAGAAATTTGACAAAATGTAAAAAAAAATATTTTTTTATAAAAATTGTTCAAATAAAAGTTGTTTGTAATATAATTCTCTATAATTTTTATCCTATACATAATTTCTCTAAAATGGACCGTATTCGAGATATTTGAGAAAATGTGTAAATTACGAATTTTGAAGAAAACTCAAAAACGGATAAAGGAAATAACATTAAATTTTAAACTTAAGTTTAATTTCGGCCTGACGTGAAATTATTAGATTTTGGGCAAAATCGGAACA